TATAATAAAGTGGCCCCACCTCGAGCATCCTTTGGGGTCCCCGGGCCGAGCTCGGTGTCCCCCCCGTCCCTGGGGACATTTCAGCTCTTGCTGTGTGTATATATATATATATATATATATAGATAGATAAGATAGATAGATAATTTTATTATATAAAACACAATTTAATGCAGCATTTTGCCCCCTCCCCGCCCCAAAATTTCCGTCCCGTTTTGCTCTTTGTTTTTTTGTTTCTCTTGATTGAAATTAATTTTTTTTTTCTTGGTCGTGAATCAAAAACAACAACAACAAAAAAAAAACAAATTAGAAAATTTTAGAGAGAGAAATTCAGGGGGTTTTGTCTTGATTTATTATTAAATTATTAAATAGTTAAATTTGGGGGGGGGGGGAAATTGGGGCTGGGGAGGCTCTAAAGGGTTGGGGGGAGCTTAAAGGGGGGGATGGAGGAGAATTTTGGGGTGGGGAGGGGGAATCAGCCCTTTCCTGTGGAAAAATGAGAAATGGGACCCCTCGCACTCAGTTTGGGGGGCAGGACCCCCCCAGAGCCCATTTTGGGGCAAAAAAAAACCCAAATTTGTCCCTTCCCAGCCCAGCAGGGGGTGCAGCCCTCCCTTGACCCCAAAGCCAGGATTAAACCCCAAAAACCTGGGCTGAATCCCCCCAAACCCTGATCAATCCCCCAAAATTGGGCTGAATACCCCCAAACCCAGATTAATGCCCCAAAATTGGGCTGAATCCCCCCAAACCCTGATCAATCCCCAAAATTGGGCTGAATCCCCCCAAACCCTGATCAATCCCCAAAATTGGGCTGAATACCCCCAAAACCCAGATCAATCCCCAAAATTGGGCTGAATACCCCCAAACCCTGATCAATCCCCAAAATTGGGCTGAGTCCCCCCAAAACCCTGATCAATCCCCCAAAATTGGGCTGAATACCCCCAAACCCAGATTAATGCCCCAAAATTGGGTTGAGGCCCCCAAACCTGGATTAATCCCCCAAAATTGGGCTGAGCCCATCCAAACCTGGATTAATCCCCCAAAATTGGGCTGAGTCCCCCCAAACCTGGGCTCTGCACCCCCAAACCTGGATTAACCCCATCAAACCCAGGCTGAGCCCCCCCAAACCTGGATTAACCCCCCAAAATTGGGCTGAATCTGCCCAGACCTGGATCAATCCCTCAAAATTGGGCTGAATCCCCCCAAACCTGGGCTCTGCACCCCAAACCTGGATTAACCCCCCTAAACCCGGGCTGACCCCCATGAGGGGAGGTGGGATGGGGGAAGGAAAAGGGGGGGACACACAAATTTCTTCCTCTTTAAAATAATAAAAAAAAAAATCTTTTTTTTTTCCCCTCCCTATTTCCCCTTGCCCCTGCTTGGCTTCGATCCAGATTTTATTATTTCGTCATTTATTATTATTATGATTATTATTAATAATAACTTTTATTATTATTCCCCTCTCTCCCTCTCTCTCTTCCCACCGTAACTCAGCACTTTCTTTGGCAACACTTTCATCCCAACCTGGATTCAAAAAAAAGAAAAAAACAACAACAAAAAAAAAACCAAAACAAAACCTCAAATTAAATTAAAATTAATCAGAATAAAGACAAAAATCTCGATGCTGAGCTACGGGGGGGGATTTTGGGGTGGGGGCTTTAAGGCGACGGGACAGGGACAATCCTGGGGCATTTGGAGCTTTTTTTTTTTTTGCTTTTTTTTTGCTTTTTCTTGATTTATTTTTAGTGCAAACTTCACCTTGTGCTAAAGTGTTGCCAGTGGGGGGGACAGGGAGGGGACAGGGGGGACACGGGGACATCGCTGGGGGAATCCTGAGTCTGCTCCTCTCTCCTCTTCCTCCTTTGTGCTCCTTTTCCTTTGCATTTTTCCTTTTTTCCTTCTTTCTTGCCCTATTTTTCTCCCCTTGCCCTCCCCCCCCCCACAATTTATTCCTTCTTTTCTCATTTTCCCCCCTTTTTTTTCCACCTTTCATTTCTCATTTTTCCTTCTCCCCCCCCCTTTCTTTCCCTTATTTCCCCTCTTTTATTTCTCCCCTCCAATTTCCTTTCCCCCCGTTTTTTTCCTTCCTTTCTTTTGACCAATCCCTCCTTTTTTTCCCCCAATTTTTTTCCCCCTTTTCTGCACACCTGGAAGCTCCCACCCCCTTCACCTCCTCCCGGTGCTGCTTCCCCCACGATTCCTTTGGGATTGGGAATGGGGGAAGGAAAAGCAGCAGCGAGGGTGGCAAAATCCACAGGGGGAAAAAATAAAAACAAAACCCCAAAAACCAGGACGGGAGGAGCCACCACAACCCCGAGCACAACAGGAACCTCCACAAGTCTCTATTTACAAATCCACACGGAATTTTCTTTGCATATTCCCAAAAAAAAAAAACCTCAGCCGGTGCTGCCAGAGGGGCCGGCCCCGCCCGGAGCCCCCGGGTTGGGATCCGACCCCTTCCCCATGGGAATTCCCTGCCCAGATCCCGAATCTCCTGCTCAGGGAGGGATGGGGACCCACAGGCACCTGGGGGCTCGATTTTCCTGCCCAAAGGGGGCACGGGAGGGACACAAATCCCTGGGATCTGGGGTCCCCCCAGCTCCTTCCCGGGGGATTCCCTGCCTGGAGCCCAATTCCCTGCCTGGAGCCCAATTTCCCAGCCCAGATCCCAATTTCCCTGCTCAAATCCCAATTTCCCTGTCCAGATCCCAATTTCCCTGTCCAGATCCCAATTTCCCTGCCCGGATCCCAATTTCCCTGCCCAGATCCTAATTTTCCTCTCCAAATCACAATTTCCCACCTTGTATCCCAATTTTCCTCTCCAGATCCCAAATTCCCAGCTCATATCCCAATTTCCCTGCTCAAATCCCGATTTCCCTGTCCAGATCCCAATTTCCCAGCCCAAATCACAATTTCCCAGCCCAGATCCTAATTTTCCTATCCAAATCCCAAATTCCCAGCTCATATCCCAATTTCCCTGCTCAAATCCCAATTTCCCTGCCCAAATCCCAATTTCCCTATCCAGATCCCAATTTCCCTGCCCAAATCCCGATTTCTCAGCTCATACCCCAATTTCCCTGCTCAAATCCCAATTTCCCTGTCCAGATCCCAATTTCCCAGCCCAGATCCTAATTTTCCTATCCAAATCCCAATTTCCCAGCTCGTATCCCAATTTCCCTCTCCAGATCCCAATTTCCCAGCCCAAATCCCAATTTTCCAGCCCAAATCCCCATTTCCCAGCTCATATCCCAATTTCCCTGCCCAAATCCCAATTTCCCTATCCAGATCCCAATTTCCCAGCCCAAATCCCAATTTCCCTGCTCCAGGTGGGATTTTTGCCAAATCCACAGGGATCCCAACACCTCTGCGCTGGCACTGGCTAAAAAAAAACATCGTAAAAATAAAATTATTTCTACAAAAAAAAAATTAAAAAAAACCAAAAAAACCCAAAAAAACCCCCAAACAAACAAACAACCTCCTCAAGGCTGTGGGGAGCAGTGAGCGAGCCACAACCCCCAGGATTCCTGCCTAAAATTCAAGCTTCCATGGATTTTTTTTTTCTATTTAAAATTCCCGAGGGTCAGGGCATGTCACAGAACCTAATTAGCATCTTCCTCCCATCCTCCAATCTCACTTGGATTCTGCCTATATTTGTATTTTTTTCTAGGTTTTTTTTTTTGTTAAATATATATATATATATACACATTTTTTTCTTACAAAAATAAATTTAGGCTTTTTTTTTTTAATAATATTTTTTTTTCTCCGTAGAAGTCTTTTTTTTTTTTTAAAGTTTTTTTTTTGACTTGTAAACATCTTGAATCTTGCTTTTTTTTTTTAAATTAAGATAAAGTGAGCTCAAAGTACCCGTTCCATCGCAAAGTGCTAAGACTTCTTTGTTTTCTTTTTTTTTTTTTTTTTCTTTTTTATTATTTTTAAGCTTTTTTTTTTTGGAATTTTTATTGCTTTTTTTTTTTGTTTTTCTGCATTAAATAAACATCCATCTCTTCCCCCAGCCCCACCACTCACCCCACCCTCCCCAGCACACACTCCCCTCTCACTCCCTCTCCAAAATACATTCGGCCCAAAACCTGCTCTTTGCTTTTTTTCTTTTGAAAGTAAAAACACCAAAAAAAAAAAAAAGAAAAAAAAAGAAAAAAAAAAGGAAAAAAACCCAAAAAAAACCCAACAAAAAAATTAAAATAAAAGGAAGAGAATCTAAAAAGTGCTTTGAAAATAAAAGGGCTTAAAATCTCTCTGGTTTTTTACTCTTTTTTTTTTTTTTTTTCTTTTTTTAGCATTTAAAAATGTGCATTTAGAAAACAGGTGACCAACTCAAAGGTGCCTTTTCCCCCCAAGGGTCGGGACCCGCCTCTCCAGCCATAGAGCATCTCTAGATATATATATATATTTATATATATTTTATTTTCTTTTCTTTGTGGGAATGGGGCTGGGGGGGGGCCAGGCTGCTCCCCCTTTCCCAAAGGCCTCCTGCTCCTTTAGGGGAGACCCCAAAGAACCTTTTTGCCAAAGGGATTTGGAGGCGTTTTTGGGGCCGTGCTGGGGAGGGAAAAAATTCCCTGGGGCAAAGGGAAGGGGGGGGGGGGGTGGGTGGGGGAAAAAATTCCCTAAGGGAAAAGGGGGGGGGGGGAAGAAAAATTCCCTGGGGGGGATTTGGGACCCCCCAGCCCCAAATTCTGCCGGCAGCGGGGGCTGGGCTGACTCAGGCACTTCCTGGGCACTGCGGGGTGGGGACGGATGTGGGGACAATGGGGGGGACAGGGATGGACACAGGGATGGACACAGGGATGGACACAGGGATGGACACTGAACCCACGGCACGGCTGAGCCATCCCAGTGTCCCCACCCTGGTGTCCCCACCCTGGTGTCCCCACCCTGGTGTCCCCAGCCCTGCCCTGTCCCCATCTCCAGCGTCCCCAGCCCCGGGTGCCCGACACAAACCCTGCCGAACCTGCTGCCTTCTCTCACATGATTTTTTTCTTTAAAAAAAAATTTTTTTTTAGGCAATTTTTCCAGCAATTTCCAGCAATTTTTTCCCCACCCGGAGCCCTCGCTGCCCGACTGAGCCTCGCACTCGGGGGGGGCTGGGGGGACAGACCCCAAATCCTGACCCCGATCTCCTGGGAAGGAGCCCCCGGCCCCCAAATCCCAAACCCCGCCCTGCCACAGCCCTTCCAACTCCTACCACTCCTTATTTTTTTTTCTATTTTTTCCTTTTTTTTTTTCTTAAATAGATCTCTCTCTGAAATAAGTTTTTTTTTCTTTTCTTTTTTTTTTTTTTTTTTTTTTAAACATGTGTTTGGACACAAAATAAAGCTTTGGATTTACATGGAAGCTCTTTTCCATGCGACAGAGCCACTTTCCATCCCCACCTCGTGCTTCCCTAGCGTCCTTGCCTTTCCAAGAAAAGGTCCTTGGCTATGAGGGATCCTCGGGGGAGAGCCCCGCTTACGATGGGAAGATTGGAAAACGTTAATATATAATATCTCTCTTTTTTTTTTTTCTTTTTTTTGTAGCATTTTTTTTGTTTTTTCCTTAAAAAAAAGGGAGAGAAACATCTTTTAAAGAGAAAAATCGGAGGAAAAGTACTAACTAGATTTTGTGACTTTGTTTTGTTTTTTTTTTTTTTTCAGGTTTCATCGTTTCATCGGTTGGGGTTGGTTTTATGGTTTTTTGTGTTTTGTTTTTTGGTTTAGGAGAGTCCTTGCTCATTACCCTCATCCGACCCTCCTGCTACATTCAATCCCGGCGCTTCGTTATTGGAATTCTCCTCAAAGTGCTGCTGCTGCTGCTGCTGCTGCTGCTCCTCGCTGCCCGCGGCCGTGTCCTCGGGCTCGGGGGCCGGGATGCTCCCGTCCTCCGTGGGCGTGGGGGGCATGGCCCCGCCGGCCTCCCTGACCCGCGGCTTGCGGCCCCTCCGTGACGGGATCCCGTTGCATCCATCTTTTTTAAGGTGCCTGTGCAGGTGGTCGGAGCGGACGAAAGTCTTGCAGCAGCTGTCGCACTGGTACGGCCGCAGCCCCGTGTGCACCCGCATGTGGTTCTTCAAGTCGTAGTTGTGGGCGAAGGCGGCCCCGCACTGCTGGCACAGGTAGGGCTTCTCCCCCGTGTGCTTCCGCATGTGCACCTTCAGCTTGTCCTGCCTGCGGGGACACACGGACACGTCAGGGACGGACTGGCGGCGTGGAGGGGCAGGGAGGGGCGGTGGAGGAGGTGACACGGCGTGGGTGGCACTGGGACGGGGCTGGAGCAGGGATGGGCATTGGAATGGGCAGCTCCTGGTGTGGGGATGGGCATTGGCACAGGGCTGGGCAGCTCCTGGTGTGGGGATGGGCATTGGAATGGGCAGCTCCTGGTGTAGGGATGGGCATTGGTGCTGGGCAGCTCCTGGAGTGGGGATGGACACTGGAATGGGCAGCTCCTGGTGTGGGGATGGACACTGGAATGGGCCTGAGCAGCTCCTGGTGTGGGGATGGGCATTGGAATGGGCAGCTCCTGGAGTGGGGATGGGCATTGGAATGGGCCTGAGCAGCTCCTGGAGTGGGGATGGACACTGGAATGGGCAGCTCCTGGTGTGGGGATGGACACTGGAATGGGCAGCTCCTGGTGTGGGGATGGACATTGGCACAGGGCTGGGCAGCTCCTGGTGTGGGGATGGACACTGGAATGGGCCTGAGCAGCTCCTGGTGTAGGGATGGACACTGGAATGGGCAGCTCCTGGCGTGGGGATGGACACTGGAATGGGCCTGAGCAGCCCCTGGAGTGGGGATGGGCATTGGAATGGGCAGCTCCTGGTGTGGGGATGGACACTGGCACAGGGCTGGGCAGCTCCTGGAGTGGGGCTGAGCATCACCCAGTGCAGGGTGAGAGGGCAGGGTCACACACTGTCACATATGGGGTCACACATTGCCCATACAGGGTCTGAGCAGGGTTATGGGGTCACACATTGGCCCATACAGGGTCTGAGCAGGGTTATGGGGTCACACATTGGCCCATACAGGGTCTGAGCAGGGTTATGGGGTCACACCCTGCCCAGCCCAGGCTGATCACAGCTCTGGGGTCACACATGGCTCATTTGGGGCTGGGCCACCTGAGCCATCGCTGCTTCCTGGAGGCAAACGCAGCCCCGAGCACGTGGCCAGGCAGGGGAGCCCCTGCTGCCCTCCCCAGCACCTGCCCGACCCTTCCCAGGCGGATCCACCCCATTCCTGCTCGGATCACTCAGATCCCAGCCCTGAACGTTCTCCCTTTACCCACAGGATCCCAGAAATCCTAAAGCTCCGGGGAAGGATCAAAGCCCCAAGGTCGTGTCCAGCTCTGAGTGACACACAAAGTGGCTCGTGAAATTACAATTTGGCATTTTATAACCTCCCAAACTCTTCTCTTTTTTTTTTTTTTTTTAATGGGAGCTGCTCCTCCCCCTGTGACCGCAGAGGAACCAGGAAACGCCAGGGAGCAAAAATCCCTGAGCAGGGCCGGGCTGGGTGCGGGAACACCCGGCTGGAGCAGCCCCCTCCTCCTCCTGCCACACCCCAAACCCCCTCCCAAACCCCTCCCACGGAATGGGGAAGGGATTTGTTCCCAGCCCTGGATGGGGAAGGAGAGCAAAGGAATAATATGGAATTAATAATATGGAATAAATAACATGGAATAAATAATATGGAATAAATAACATGGAATAAATGGAGCTCGGGGCACGGGAACAAGCGATGCCAAGGACAGCTCCCTGTCCCTGTCCAGGCTTCCCAAAGCTGCTGTGGGCAGAGGCAGGAGGATGTGTTTTGGCTGGAATCTGCTGGTTTAGAAAAGCAGCTTTTTTACAGGTGCCAGGCCCTCCTGGGAGCCAGCAGGGAGCAGATCCTAATCCCACAGAATGGGAGCAGATCCTAATGCCAAGGAATGGGAGCAGGATGGAAAAAGGATGAGGTGGTCCCACCAACTCCCCGTCCCCACAAGTCCCCCCTGTGCCTCCCCTCACGTTGCAGTGCCAGCAGCTGCCAGGGACCCTGTGGCATTTCCAGGGCCTGCAGTGCCCTGGATGGGGCCTAGAGGGGGATGGCAGTGGGGTGGCTCAGGGATGGCAGTGGGGTCGCTGTGGGGTGGCCGTGGGGTCGCTGTGGGGTCGCTATGGGGTGGCTGTGGGGTCGCTGTGGGATCAGCCCCAGCCCCGGAGCAGGGAGGTGCCGCGTGGCAGGGCCGGGGGAGCGGGGAGGGAGGGCTGGCACCCTGCCCCTGCCATTATCTGCATTCCTCAGCTCTCCAACGTGGGCTGGGCGCGGCCGGGACCAGGGGAAGGGGCAGGACACGGCCTCCTGCCCCTCGGGCTGCACCCCGGGCATCCCACACGGATCCTACACGGGATGGAGCCCCCAGAGCACCAGGGGCCTGGAAGGGCTGGGGGAAGTGGCACAGTGGGAACATCTGGGCAGGCAGGGAAAGGGAAAAGGAGCAGGGAAAGGGAAAGGGAAGGGGAGAAGGGAAAGGGAAGGGAAACAGAGCAGAAAAAGGGAAGGGAAAGGGAGCAGGGAAGGGAATGGAAAGGGAAGAGAGCAGGCAGAAAAAGGAAAGGGAGCAGGGAAAGGAAAGAGGGGAGGTAGGGAAAGGGAAGGGAAAGGAAAGGAGAGGGAGCAGGGAAAGGAAATGGAAAGGGAAGGGAGCAGACAGGGAAAAGGAAAGGGAGCAGGGAAACGGAAGGGAAAAAGAGCAGAGAAAGGGAAGGGAAAGGGAGCAGGGAAAGGGAGCAGGGAAAGGGAAAGGGAGCAGGAAAAGGGAGCAGGGAAAGGGAGCTGGGAAAGGGAGCAGGGAAAGGGAGCTGGGAAAGGGAGCAGGGAAAGGGAGCAGGGAAAGGGAAAGGGAGCAGGGAAAGGGAGCAGGGAAAGGGAGCAGGGAAAGGGAGCAGGGAAAGGGAAAGGGAGCAGGGAAAAGGAAAGGGAGCAGGGAAAAGGAAGGGAGCAGGGAAAAGGAAAGGGAAAGGGAGCAGGGAAAGGGAGCAGGGAAAGGGAAAGGGAGCAGCCCCAGGCCGGGCAGCCCACGCTGCCCCCGGCAGGGCCAGGGCTGCTCCAGGCTGGGACCCCCGGGCCGGCCCAGCCCCGCAGCAGAGCCGGGGAGAGGAGGCGGCGCCCGGGCACGGACTGGAGTGAACTGGAGCAGCCCAAACAATGTCCCCTTTCTTTGGTGCTGCCGTGGCCCAGGCAGGGAGCAGAGCAGCCCTGATTAGGAACAGGGCCGTGGCAAACGCCCCCGGGAGCTGCACCGGGGCTGCAGAGCTGCTCTGCCAAGGACACGAGTGGGCTCCAACCTCCCTCCAACCCAGCCACGGCCACCTCAGCCATGCCATGAGCCATGCCCAAACCATTCCCCTGCTCCCTCCTCAATGGACAGACCAAGAGCTGCAGCTCTGTTTCCCCCTCATGTCAGGCTTCCAGCAGAGCTCAGCAAGTCAGGACAGCAGGATGGTGGCACTGGCCATCGAGCCAGGCCCCTTGAGATAGCTCAAGTGTCACACCCCCAAACTGCTCCCTGGAAAACTTTGGCCTCCAGCCCCAACTCGCCAGTTAGGACGGAAATGAGTTGAGCAGAGAGATAAAATCACCCAGGAGCAGCCCTGGGCTGGCTCCTGGGGAGAGGGGAGGGCTGGGTTTGAGTGCAGACCCCGGGTTTGGGTGCAGATCCCGGGTTTGGGTGCAGATCCCGGGTTTGGGTGCAGACCCTGGGTTTGGGTGCAGACCCTGGGTTTGGGTGCAGACCCCGGGTCTGTGTGCAATCCCTGAGTTTGTGTGCAGCCCCCAGGTCTGTGTGCAGCCCCCGTTCCCAGCCGTACCTGGTGAATCTGACGTTGCAGATGTTGCACTCGTAGGGCTTCTCCCCGGTGTGGGTGCGGATGTGGCGCGGCAGCTTCCCGGCGCCCTGGATCACCTTCTCGCAGATGGGGCACTTCTGGAATGCTTTTGCCCTGATCTTCTTCTCCACCTTCTGCGACCAGGACGGGTACACGTCGCCCTCGCTGGAACTGCCAAAATATTTCAAGTAATAATCCATGACCCCGTCCTCGTCCTTGCGGTCGTCGTCGCCGAGCTGCTGCCGCCCCACCGAGTTGATCATCTGCTGGAGCAGGGCGCTGGCGGCCAGGTCATCCACCTCCCTGGCATCATCCTCCGTCTCCGTGCCCGTGGGGATGAAGCTGGGCGAGTCCCCGGCCTCCTGCGGGTCCAGAGGGCCCCTGGGGGTGCCCCCCTCCTCTTCTGCCGGGGTGGCCAAGCCGCGGCTGCTGTAATGTCCGTTCTGGGAAGGGGAGAACATCCCGCCGCTGACCGGCTCCTCGTCCTCGCGCTCCAGCCACATGGCCGGGTTGCTGTCGGGGTCACAGTCACTTGCCTTTGGTCTTTCGGTTGGGGTGGCTTGCGAGTAGAAGTCCAGGCCGTTGCAGTTCGACTCCTCCTCCTCCTCTTGGCCTCGGAAGTTCAGTCTCTGAAGGTCTCTCAACTCTGGGTTGGTCCACGGAAAGCTGCCTTGGTGGCCGTTCACGGGGTTGCTCTGGAAGAACTCCAGGTACTCTTTTGCTCTGAGATGGTTCCTCTGATCAATTTGATCTACTGTATCCATCTGGTCATTTTTGGCCAGAATCTTCCTCTCCAGGAGATCCGTGCAGACATCCCTGACGGCCGGGATCTCCAGCAGCGTGGCGGCGTTGAGGATGTCGTTGACGTTGGAAGTGCTGACGGTGAGGGTCGCGGTGTAGGCGAACTCCAGCAGCGCCGACAGGGCGTCCGCACTCACAAAGTCTATCTCATACACGTTCTGCTGGTCCACCACTAACCCTGAGGTGAAGAGCTTCTTGAAGTACTGGCTGCACGCTGCCAGGACGGAGCGGTGGGTGGGGAACTCCTGGCCTTCCACCAGGATGACCACGTCGCACAGCAGCCCGTTGTTCCTCTGCTCATTCAGGCTGCTGAGGATGTCGCTGCTGTGATCCGGGAACGGGATCCCTATGGGGCCGTCCACGCCACCCGCCATCTTCCAGGCTAAAGGCTGTGGGGAAGGAGGGCAAGGCCGTGAGTCAGAGCTCGGAGACATCGGGAGAATCCCCAAATTCCTGAGGGACGCACCTGGCAGTGTGTCCCCTGTGCCTCTCCCATGATCCTGCCCGTCCTGTGCTTACCTGGCGAGGAGGAGGAGGAACAGAGGCCAGGTGCTCTCAAGTGAGAACAGCTGAATTAGCACGGATCCGGGCCAGAGCAGCAAGCCTTGGCAGGGAGCTGGCATCACCCAGCCAGGCAGCACCTGGAGCGGGCACAGCCGTGCCCAGCGTGGGGCCAGGGCAGCCTGAGCCTCCCCAGTGCATCCCAGTCCTGCCCTGGGAGCATCTCCCAGTGCCATTCCTGCTGGGAAGGTCCCCAGCTCCGTGATGGCACCACTGGGAACAGCATTTCCATCACTGGTCCCTGGCTGCCAGCACCCCGGGAATATCCTCTGGGAAGGGCAGGGAGAGGGGAGCCCCAGCCTCCCCACGCTGCTGCTGCTGCTGCAGGTGTTTGACAGAGCAGAGCTGATCCCTGGAAGCTGAGGCAGCTCCTGCTCCTTCCTGGGAGCAGGAGAGAGGAAAGGACACCGGGATCACCAAGTGCCAGTGCCAGACCTGGATCCTGGACAGGTTCCAGCAGAAGCAGCAGCTCTTCCCAATGCCAAGGGTTTGTTTGGGACAAGATAAATAAATAAAGTCACTCCTGACACATCCACTTTACTCCAAAGGCTGGAAAAACCCAGCCTTTGCTGGGAAATGGGCACTGGAGCCTGACTGCGAGCCTGAGCAGCCCCTAATTCTCCCACAATCCCACAATCTTCTGATCCCAAAAATCAGGAATAACATTTCCCTCCTGTCCACCTCAAGCACAAATCCACACGCTCCTTGAAGCAGCAATGCCTTTGCTGGAAAATCAGTGTAATTCCCCCCATCCCAAGCACTGGGATCAGCAGGAGCCAAGAAATCCACGCACAAACCAGTCCAAAAATCACCCCAGCACAAGGCTGGAGTACCCAGGCTCCTGACTGTACAAACCAGTCCAAAAATCACCCCAGCACAAGGCTGGAGTAGCCAGGCTCCTGATTTCCAGGTGGGGAAACTGAGGCACGGCGGGACGTGGCCTATCCCAGGCCATGGGGGCACGGATGAGTCAGGATGGATCCAGAACAGGAATAATTATTCAGGAAGCAGCTGCCAGCCCCGGGTCCCAGCACGGAGCAGGAGCCCAGGTTGCACAACTCCGGCTTCCCCCACCCACCCCCGGCCTCCTCAGTAGTTTTCCATATTTACTTATTTTTGAAACGTTTTGTTAAGCCCAGAAAATAAGTTTAACTTTGGCACCTTCCTGTTTCATACAGAGAAAAGGCAGGAGAAGGCAGGTCTGAGGCTGTGGAAAAGGGATCTGGAGCAAATCCCTGCGTAATCAACAGCAGGAGGACACCAGGATTCGGCTCCCAGCAGGAATGGGATGGGGTGAGGAGGAGGAGGAGGACCTAGGGGGGCTGGATGTGCAGGGCAGGCACCAGTCCTGCCACCAACACCAAACACCAAGGCCAGGTGGCTTCCTCAGACTCCTGGGAGCAACTCAGAGCCACCTCCTGAGCTCCAGGCTTTGACCTTTAAACCCTAATTTCATGGATTTTTACATCAGGGAGGAAAGGGCTGTTTGGTGGCACCACTCCACACCAGACCTGGCTTCAGGTGTGACCTTGGGCAAGGTCACCCCATCCCAGGGGATCCTGAGCTGGGGCTCCAGGGAGGCTTTGCTGCCTCAGCACTGCTGGTCCCACTCCCACCAGGGCAGCTCCAGAGCTCCCCAAACCCTGACTGGAGCAGATCCCACATCCCTGCCAGCCCCAAAACCAGCACTGGAGCTTCCCCCTCTCCCTCCTCTCTACCACAGATGCTTTACAAGCTTTTTCCTCCCAAATCCAGTGAGCTGGAGCTGCGTGCAGCGTTTGGAAGCTGTGGACAGGGCTCCTGAGGGTTCTGTGTCTGTCCCCCACACAGCCCAGCCCTGGGGAGCAGCCAGACAAGGTCCCCCCCCAGCCTGGGGGCTGGGATAATCATCCCCACAGTGTGGGAATGGCTGCAGGGTCATGAGACTGCCCCTGGAGCCTGCTCCAAGTCGGCCACCCCGCACACAACACGGCCTTTGTGTCCCACGGCCGCGGTGCCCGGGGATGCTGGGGGCAAAGGGGGCGTCCTGAGCCCCCCAGGAACGGGGTCAGGGCCTGGATGCTCCAGCCACATCCAGAGACTGAGTCCTTAAAACGTCCCCTCCATCCCCTTTCCAACAGTTTAGGAACTGCCAATGGGAAAATGGAGTGTTCCAAAGGATGGATTTGGGGTTTTGGGAACTTGCTGAGTCTTTGTGAGGTGGGTGACTCAAAACAAGTTCCAGGCACCCCAAATCCACTGCTTGCTCATGGCACCGGGGCTCAAGGCCACGATGGAATGGGCAGAATCCACTTGGGAATGTGCTGAAGCCAGGTGACAAGTGACAAAAGCTGCTGGCACAACCACAGCCCGTCCCTGCCTGGCAAGGAAAGGTCTGAATGGGCCACCAAGGGGGAGCCTCAACTCCTGACCTGGATTTCCCAGCAGCTCCATTCCCTCCCTGCCTGCCTGGGAGTTCCAGGCCCCTGTCCCAGCCTGGGTGGCTCTGCAGGGCTCAGAGGTGCCACATTTCACCCCAGAAGTGGCACTGGGGGAGAAGTTTGGGAATGGCTGAGGTGAAATACAGCCCGTGAGGAAGGGGGGTTGGAGCAGCAGCAAGCAGAGCCCTCCAGGTGATTTAGGAACATCACTGACAGCCTGCTGGGACACCCTGTGCAGCCCCAACCCTGCTCTGAGCCCCCTCAGCGCTTCCAAAATCCCAGCACGGGGGAGCTGTGGCTATTCCAGCTCCACAGGTCAGCCTGGCACACACAGGCAGGAAAAATGTCATTTTTTGGGTGCTGGACGGGGCTGAGGGAAGCTCTCCACCTCCCTGAGCTGATGTTCCACATCCAGCTGATTCCCCATGGCCTTTGGAGGCTGCTCCTCAAGACTGAAATGGAATTCCTGAGGTTGGAAAAGCCCTCCAGGATCACTGAGTCCCACCTTGTCCCCAGCCCAGTGCCACCTCCAGGGATGGGAACTCCCTGGACAGCCCCTGCCAATGTCCAATCATTCTTTCCATGCAGAAATCGTCCCAAAATCCAACCTGAGCCTGCCCTGGTGCAACTCAAGGCCGTTCCCTCTTGTCCTGCTGTCCCCTGGGAGCAGAACCTGACCCCTCCTGGCTGTGCCCCCAGTCAGGGAGCTGTGCAGAGCCAGAAGGTCACTCCTGAGCCTCCCCAGCTCCCTCAGATGTTTTCCAGACTCTCCCCAGCTCCATTCCCTTCTCTGGGCTCACTCCAGCCCCTCTGTGTCCTTCTCACCGTGAGGGGCCACACCAGGACACAGCACCCGAGCTGTGACCTCAGCACTGCGATTTTATTTTCTTTTTTTTAAGCTCAATTTCTCCCCTCTCCCCTCCCAGACCCCCCCCCAGCCCAAGAGCAGCACCCAGAGCTCATGGAAACCCCTGAGCTTGTGCTTCCCTCAGCAGGATGTCACCCAATCCCTCTCCTCCAGGAGCTCTGGAATTTGACATTTACATTCAAATGAGACGACCACATCAAGATGGGATCCCAACCAAAAGTGCTGACAAAACACCTCTTTAATTACCAGTTTTCCACAGAACCTCAGTGGTTGTTTTTCCTTTTCTCTTCACTTCTTTGCCTTAAAATTTAGAGGAAGCTGAGCAGTTTGGGAGGGCTCAGGCACAGCCAGGTGGAAGAGCTGGGTCACACCTGGGGAACAGGGAACAGCCAATGTTCTCTACGTGCTCTAATCCGGAAAAGATCCCAAAACCCTTCCACAGGCAGAGGTGCCGCCCTCTGCAGCAGCACAGGTGAGAACTTGAGCAACACCTGGCACCTGCTCGGGGCAGGAAGGGAGAATCAGCATCACCCTTTCCATGGGGCACGAGGCAAAACGGCTTTGGGGAATTCTGCAATGCACACAGCAACAATTCCTGGGAAGAGCTGAGCTCTGGGAGGTGCCTGTGGATGCTGAGGCTGTGGGATGGACAGAGACTTTGGACATGACTGTGGAGGGACAGGGCAGGAGGGAATGGGTCAAACTGAGAGGGCAGGGTGAGAATTGGGAAGAATTCCCAGAGCAGCTGTGGCTGCCCCTGGACCCCTGGAAGTGTCCAAGAGGAGGCTGGAGCACCCTGGGATACTCCAGGATGTCCCTGCCCGTGGCAGGAATATTTAAGGTCCATGCAGCCCAAACTATTCTGAAATTTGGTGCCCAAAGGATCCCAAGCTGCTCTGGGATTTCTTGGAGCAAACACGACCGAGGCAGGGCAGCCTCAGCAGCAGCACCAGGGGACAATGATTTAAAAAATGGTGATTTACACAAAAAACCAGCCCAGGGGCTGCTGCCCAAGGCCCAAACACGACCCCAGCAGTCCCTCAGCAGCCTGCAGAAATGGGGCATTCCCCCTAGAACTGCTGCCACCCCACACGTCCTCCCCTGCTGGCATTTAGGGACAGCCCATCCCAGTGCCCCTGTCCCTCTCCCAGCTCTGCCAGCCTGGCCCAAGGCAGCTCTGGGGCCACGGGGAGCAGAGGCAGAGCCTGTGCTGGGAGCAGCCCAGGACAGGCCCCAGCAGGTCCCACCCTGCCCAGGATCCACCCCAGGCCTCGGGACACACACCTTGCACTGGGGAGCTGGGAACAGGGCAGGGGAAAAGGGAAAGGGGAAAAAAAGGGGGAAAAGGGGGAAAAGGGGGAAAAGGGGGAAAAGGGGGAAAAGGGGGAAAAGGGGGAAAAGGGGGAAAAGGGGGGAAAAGGGGGAAAAGGGGGGAAAAGGGGGAAAAGGGGGAAAAGGGGGAAAAGGGGGAAAAGGGGGAAAAGGGGGAAAAGGGGGAAAAGGGGGAAAAGGGGGAAAAGGGGGAAAAGGGGGAAAAGGGGGAAAAGGGGGAAAAGGGGGAAAAGGGGGAAAAGGGGGAAAAGGGGAAGTTTCTGGCTGCTTGGGAGAAGTCACAATTCCAACCACTCCACTGAGCCATGGAAACTCAACTGCTCCCAACAAGGAAATGTGCTGTCAGTGCCTTAGGGCCAAACTATCCCAATTATTTGGACCTGGAGAACCAGCTGGATGTTCCTGAGAGGAAGACCCTGAACATCAACAGAAGGAACTGCACTGTGGGAAAAATCAAGATTAAAAAAACCCCTCAGCCTGCTTTTCTTTTAAATAAAACTACATTTTCAATGGTGCAGTGGGAAGAAATCCTTGGTCTTGAGAAGGCAATGGAGTCATCAATGGCAAGGAGTGAATTCCAGCTTTCTTCTGTGCTGCCTGGACACCCCATCTGGGGTAACATGACCAAGATCATGCAGCTCTTGAAGGGAAGAGACCGGAGCAGAACCAGCGCCCTGCAAATATCTGTGGGCTGCTCTGGACAATCTGGCTCTGTTTCCCAAGCATGGGCATCCATCCCCTCCAGCCCCTGCCCAGCCCTGAACAGGGAAAAGCGACCACAGGTCTGGATCTGGGATGTGAGGAATGAGGAACGAGACTGAACCACAGCAGGAGGGTTCAGCTGGTTCCCAAAGAGGCTCCAGGTCCCAGCCCTGAGCGAGCCCTGCTCCAGGGGCTCCTCAGAGGGGCTGCACTGCTCTGCTCCTTACACAGATCAGAGCACCCCACGTCTTGGAGGTGCTTTGGGTGTTGGAATGCTGCTGCAAGAGCTCTGGAGACCTTGCAGTGCATGGAGGGGCTCCAAGGGAGATGGGGAGGGACATGCAGGGACAGGACAAGGGGCAATGGATTCAAACAGAGGAGGTTTAGATGGGATGTTGGGCAGGAATCCTTCCCTGTGAGGGTCAGGAGGGACTGGGATGGAATTCCCAGAGCAGCTGGGGCTGCTCCATCCCTGGCAGTGCCCAAGGCCAGGCTGGACAGGGCTGGGAGCAGCCTGGGACAGTGGGAGGTGACCCTGCCATGGCAGGGCTGGCACTGGATGGGCTTTGAGGTCCCTTGCACCCAAACCATTCTGTGATGGGGCAAAGACTCAAATTCCAGGTGAAATGCAAGAACACCTGAGATGTTCTGACAGCTCCTGGGCTCCAGCAGCTCCCCTGCCCCAGAGCTTTTCCTCCCC